ATACATAGACATTAAACATTACTTTTTGTTTTGCAGATAAGAAATTAAGAACACTCAACGTGCTTTGAAATGGCGGACATTTTAGTATATGTCTCATGGCCCTATTCTGAACAATCTGCAATTAGGCAAATTGAACAAAAGTGTGGAACAAAATTCTAAATGGGGAGCAGCTAGGCTGTTATACAATAAGATTTTGGTGACAATTGACAAATATAATTTTAGTCAAATATAACACCCAGATATTTAATTTCGTCTTCATGAATTAATTTTTTGTTGTTAATATAAATGTTTACATCGAACTTTAATTTACTCAATTTATGTCGTTTACCAGAAATACAAAATTTTGACTTGTGCGTGTTTATACAAAGGTTATGCCATTCAAAAGCATTCTTCAGATCAGCATTCATTTTTCTTTGCATTTCATCCACATTTTCACCCAAAATAAAAATCACAGTGTCATCCGCAAATAATACCGCTTTAGTATCATCTCAAATATTTACAATATCGTTTATATACATAAGAAACGACAATGGTCCCAAAACTGTCCCCTGAGGAACACCATGTTCTACAGTTATTCAATCAGATATGCAATTTTTATATTTCGTTTTTTGTACCCTATCAACAAAGCCATTTATACGCTGTTCCCGTAATAAATAAATAAATAAATAAATTTGTTGCGGATTTGGGAGATTGACATGTATTTCAATTTTTTCCCGCTTTTTTTTTTAAATAGGTCTGTCAGATCCCGGGAGTAGGCAGGAAAACGTCGGCCATTGTTAAGGACCTCACAATGCCCGAGTCGACCCCGATTATTATTGTCGTGGATTTTGTTCGAGGTTATTATCCCGGTTTTGCCCTTGTTGTAAATTTAAATGTTATTTCACATCAGTCTGTTGTGCTTAACCGTCACCCTTGCCCAAATAAAAGCCGTAGGGGTGAGTGCGGCAAGGCGGGTCACTTAAGTTTTTTTATTATTTTTTGTGGCTTTTAACCAGCAAGTCGATTTTTTTTCACTATAACTAAATTTACCAAAATTTTGGAAACGTTTCGAGCCGTCGAATTATAACTATTTATGGCGAAGTATTTAATAAAAGAAAAACTTTACCGATTAGTATCTATTTTTCTATCGGTTATAAAATTTGTTTTTGATATTGCTGCGGCCTTAGGCTAAATCCGTACAATTATCCAAAAAATAACACTTTCAGTAAATTAATTACGATTCGGCCACAATTATACGGAATAGGAATTTTTTAGAATTTTTAAGTGAATTTTAAAGGGCTACCAATGTACAAAAAACCAGAATTTATAATTATAATAATGAACAATTTTTTTATAAATTTTTGCTCCAACCTCTTCTATCAGTTTTCTGCCCCCCCCCTCTTTTTGCGCGGTCGGTCGGTCCTTTTGCAGCCCCCCGACCGCCCCATCCCCCGCGTTGTTAATTATTTTGCCATTCTGCGTTAATTGCGCACAATCAATTGTTTCGTTGTGTTTATATATTGCGTCCCCCCAACCCCCGGGCGGGCGCACAAATATTTTCATTAAAATCGCTTAATTTGTTAATAACGAATTGCCCGATTATCAATAATTAATTAATCGAGCTCGGTGGTTTCGGCAACGTGGCGGAATTCTCGAAAGTTTGTCCGGTCGACGTGTATACCGGGTGTCCCCGCATTGGACATTTTTGTCAATAAAAAAAAAAAATTGAGAGTTTGTGTCTTAATTTTTTTTCATTTTTTTTTTTCATACGCTTCATAACAATTGTTCTTTTCATTAATTTGCTTTTTACTTTCCCGAAAAATCTGCGGAATCTGTGAAATCCGTAAAATTATGAAGTAGTTATAAAACGTTGACTTGAAGACATTTATGAAATATTTTACCTGAATGTATATATCCATTTAATGAAAAAATTATAGAACAAATAATTTATTTTTTATTTACTTTTTAACAAATTAATAAGACGCGACAAAACTGAATTTAAAAATTGATGTGAACCAGCCGCCTGGACAACAGAATTAATGATTCTTACAGACCAAATGAGAAATAATTTTTTGAGGTATTTTAATGAAACAAATAGACAATCATTTAAGTAGGAAATAATAATCTCCGCATGCGGAAAGCGGTTTCAAAATTTCTTTAGAAATTAGAAAATTAAGACAAATCATGGGCGTACCATCAGTGTCTACGAAAATAGACACACGCTACTGTTGTACTGTTGTACTTTACCAGTCCGTCTTTCAGAAGTTTTAATTATTGACATTCAATTAGAAAATACCCCGTATAATATTATTAATTATCAAAATTATTAATTAAGTGCTTAATTAAAGTTCAAGGAAAATAAAATAATTAAGAAACAAAATTTTGATGAAGAAATGTTGGAAAATATTTTATGCCAGTTTTGAAAATTTACGCACCATTTTTCAGTTTTTGAAAAGAGACTCTAAGCGTATGTTTTTCTTTTTAACTTAAAAGTTTTTTTAGTCACGATGTAGTACGAAAATTAAATTCCTGAAGCGAATTAGAAATCCGGGAAGTCGGAAATTTTTGAAATCATCGTGGAATCCGTGGAATTTGTGAAATCCCCTGGTTGTGTGAAATCTGGCGTATGGTCTGTTCATAGATATATCAAAGTGACCAATTGCTTTTGAATGGGATTATCCAAGGGTGGTCATTAACATACAATGCAACAAGATTATTACCTAAAGTTTCGGAATTTAAATTCAGGTAATAGAAAATAATTTTATTCCTACCTGTGCTTAATAATATTCTTTGGTTTGCTATACTACTTAGTTTAAGTCGTGTGCGAATTATGCAAAATATGTGCGAGTCTAGTGTATCTCAGGAGATGCTCCCGCCCAAATGTAGAAAACACCATTCTATTGAGACTAAGGAAGTTATAAACACATTGACGAAAATTCCAACATCAACTGTATGGAAAATTTTGAATAATTCCATTTAAGCGAGGAAAAAAAGAAGCGATGCCAGTTATACGAGGAACAAAGCGTGCCTACAATAGATATCTTAATTAGAATCTTTTAGAATTGGGAAATGGTGACTAGAATATCTAGAAAAAAATAGGATTTACAGAGAACATCAAAGGCAATTGGCTTATATCTTATATCTATGAACAGACTTTACCAGTTGTGGATGGTGATTTGCCTGCCTCACTCTCCTTAAAAAAAATAAAATTAAGTAAAAAACTATTTATTTTTTCTTTCTTTCTTGTTTATTTTGGGTTTTTATTATTTTCGAACTGCAAAGAATATCCACAAATTAGACCCGTTAGCAACAAGTTAATAAATTTTAAAAGATATATGTTTTAAACAAAATAGTTTTTTTAATTTCCGCTCAAAATACAATTCTCACCCTTTTTTTTGTTTGTTGTATTTTTAAATAATTGGTATTGTTTTTAATAAAAAAATGGGAGGCTCGAGTTTGGCATTGACGCTTATTTGTGACGCCCGGTACATATTTCCGACGGTTCATCGATAATATCACGTTCGAGGGGGGCCGGGGGGACGTCGAATAACGACCCTCTTTATCTGAAGAAACATCTGGCAACCTCAAGACGCTTCAACGCTCCGGATTGTATTTGACACAAGGTCGGGATACGCCCTTGCAAGGGCCGCCGGGCCATGATTTATCGCCCGCCCTGTATGCTTTCGAGGTTGATTTGCGTCTTCGACTTTGGCCAAAAATTACCGCCAGAAATTTAGTTCGATCGTCGTTTAAGTATTTTAATTGTAGCGTCAGATTTGTATGAAAATTGGTGTTAAAACCGAAATCCCTTGCGTCGAAACTAAAAATAAATAAAATTAATTGGCAATGGCTGAGCATGCGTAGAAAAAAAAATTAATAAAAGATTTTCGTCAGTAAAAACAATCAATACGAATTCTTCGAAAAGACACAACATAAATCTAAGACATTAGTATTTTATCTCGAAATTTTATTGTATAATTTTGTGATCTAACTCGAAAATTTAGAGAAATTGTTGTTGAAAAGTTTTGGAAAAATTCGTGTTTTAACCCTAAATTTCAAATCTCAAAATGTTACGAAAAATTGTTTCAAATAATTTCATGTTTTATCTCAAAGTTTTTGGAAAATTTAGCGCAAATTTGGTGTTTTATCTCTAAATGTAGAAAACATCTTTAAGTTTCGTGTTTTATTTCAACATTTTAGGAAAAATTTCGTGTTTTATCTTTAAATGTTAAAATTTCGTGTCCCACCTTGAAATGTTAGAAAAACCTGCATTAAATATTTCTGCTTGTTCTTACTTGAAAATTTTGGGAAAATGGCGTGTTTTTTCTTGAAATGTTAAAATTTTGTATTCCAACTCGACATGTTTCAAAAAATTTAATGTTTTATCTCAGAGTTTTTGGAATATTTCGTGTTTCACCGCTAAATGTTGAAAATATCGTCTTCAAATGGTAATTGTAGGGAAATTTTCTAATTTTTGAAATTTCTTGTTCCGACCCGGAATTTTAGCGAAGGATTCTTGTTTTATTTCAACATTTTAGTAAAAAATTTTGGTTTTATCTCTAAATGTTAAAATTTCGTGTTCGTTAGAAAAAAACATCATGTCTTATCTCGATATTTTTGGACAAATGTCGTATTATACCACTAAATTTAAAAATTTCTACTTGTTCTTTTTCGAAATTTAGCGAAAATTTCCTGTTTTCTCGAAATTTTAGAGCAAATTTCGTGTTTTATTTCAAAATTTTAGTAAAAAATTTGTGTATCTCTAAATTTCAAAAATTAAATATTAAAAATTTGTGTTTGGACATGGATGTTTTATATAATTGTATAGTAAATTTTAATAAATTCGACAATTATTTAAACGAGATAAGGAAGAAGAGGCTATCGGTTCGCGTGTACTCTAGTAAATTAAACCGCATTATCGGCAACATCGCACCACCCGCATGCCGACAAAGGCAATTATATGTTATACGACCGCCCTTTTCTATTGTTACGATAAAATTTATGTGTTGTTGTTTTTCCAGTGGAAGTCCAGATGGTGCGTCATGCGAAAATTGTCACCAGTCGCAGGTAATTAAGGGTTATCCTATTTTGAAAAAGTAACAACGGGCGCGCATTCGTCTCTCGCGGCCCGGGCTTTTAAATAAAATTGTGCATTTAAAATTTAAATCCGAAGCTTTGTTTTCGCAGGACCGTGCATGATGGTTCAATTTGAATATATATATATATATATATATATATATATATATATATATATATATATATATATATATATATATATATATATATATATATATATATATATATATATATATATATATATATATATATATATATATATATTTTATTACATTTAAAAATCGTCGCAAACTATCGTTTTCTTGCTTAAAAAGTTTAGTCGCTATTTATGCTTACTAAAAAAAATTATCAGAAAACGAGAAATTATAAAAAAAAACAACATAACAAAATTCTAATTCTTAATGAATATTGACCATCGATTGTTTTTTTTTTATATCTTTCAAATGAGACACTGTATATATTTTTAGTCGGATTCGTTTTGACCTGTTTGACATGTTTTTGTTTGTTTTATCTCTAAATTTTGAAATGTTGCATTCCGACCAGGAATTTTACTGAAAATTTATTTGTTTATCTGTAAATTTTAACATTTATCCTTGTTACTTGAAAATTTAGGGAAAATTCTCGTTTTATTTCAAAATTTTAGGAAAAATTTCGTTTTTTATCTCTAAATGTTAAAATTTCGTGTCCGAACTTGAAATGTTAGAAAAAACTTCATGTCTTATCTCAAAGTTTAAAAAAAAATGTCGTAATATATCTTTAAATTTAAATATTTCTACTTATTTTTACTTGAAAATTTTAGGAAATTTGCGTGCTTTATCTCGAAATGTTAAAATTTTGTGTTCCAACTTGTAATTTATAGGGGAAATTTCTAATTTTTGAAATTTCGTGTTCCGACCCGAAATTTTAGAGTAGGTTTCGTGTGTTATTTCAAAATTTTATAAAAGACATCGTGGTTTATCCGTAAGTTTTATTATTTTTTTCGTGTTACTTGAAAGCATAGGGAAAAATTCGTGTTTTATTTCGTAATCGTAAGAAAAATTTAATTTTCGAAAATTTTCGTGTTTTATTACTAAACGTTGAAATTTCGTATTGATTCTAGGTATACATTTTTAATCGGATTCGTTTTGACGTATTCGATAAGTCCCCAGACAATTCAGATTAATTTACTTGGAAATTTAGTAAAAATTTCTCGTTTTATCTCTAAATTTTGAAATGTTGCATTCCGATCCGAAATTTTATTGAAAATTTATTTGTTTATCTGTAAATTTTAAAATTTATCCTTGTTACTTGAAAATTTAGGGAAAATTCTCGTTTTATTTCAAAATTTTAGGAAAATTTTCGTTTTTTATCTCTAAATGTTAAAATTTCGTGTCCCAACTTGAAATGTTAGAAAAAACTTCATGTCTTATCTCAAAGTTTAAAAAAAAATGTCGTAATATATCTTTAAATTTAAATATTTCTACTTGTTTTTCCTTGAAAATTTTAGGAAATTTGCTTGCTTTATCTCGAAATGTTAAAATTTTGTGTTCCAACTTGTAATTTATAGGGGAAATTTCTAATTTTTGAAATTTCGTGTTCCGACCCGAAATTTTAGAGTAGGTTTCGTGTTTTATTTCAAAATTTTATAAAAGACATCGTGGTTTATCCGTAAGTTTTATTTTTTTTTTCGTGTTACTTGAAAGCATAGGGTAAAATTCGTGTTTTATTTCGTAATCGTAAGAAAAATTTAATTTTCGAAAATTTTCGTGTTTTATTACTAAACGTTGAAATTTCGTATTGATTCTAGGTATACATTTTTAATCGGATTCGTTTTGACGTATTCGATAAGTCCCCAGACAATTCAGATTAATTTACTTGGAAATTTAGTAAAAATTTCTCGTTTTATCTCGAAATTTTGAAATGTTGCATTCCGATCCGAAATTTTATTGAAAATTTATGTGTTTATCTGTAAATTTTAAAACTTATCCTTGTTACTTGAAAATTTATTGAAAATTCTTGTTTTATTTCAAAATTTTAGGAAAAATTTCGTTTTTTATCTCTAAATGTTAAAATTTCGTGTCCCAACTTGAAATGTTAGAAAAAGCTTCATGTCTTATCTCAAAGTTAAAAAAAAAAATGTAATATATCTTTAAATTTAAATATTTCTACTTGTTCTTACTTGAAAATTTTAGGAAATTTGCGTGCTTTATCTCGAAATGTTAAAATTTTGTGTTCCAACTGGTAATTTATAGGGAAAATTTCTAATTTTTGAAATTTCGTGTTCCGACCCGAAATTTTAGAGTAGGTTTCGTGTTTTATTTCAACATTTTAGTCAAAATTTGTTTGGTCTTTGATGTTCCAATTTGAAATTTTAGAAAAACATCATGTCTTATCTCAAAGTTTTTGGAAAAATGTCGTATTATATCTCTAAATTAAAAAATTTCTACTTGTTCTTACTTCAAAATTTTGGAAAAATGTCGTGTTTCATCTCTGAATTTTAAAATTTCTTCGTGTTCTTATTTTTTCGAAATTTAGCCTAAATTTCGTGTTTTATCTCTAAATATTGAAAATATCTTGTTTCAATTGGAAAAATTTCGTGTTTTATCTCTAAAAATTAAAATTTCTTCGGGTTCTTACTTGAAAATTTAGAGAAAATTTTATGTTTTATCTTTAAATGTTGAAATTTCATATGGATTAAAGGTATAGATTTTTAATCAGATTCATTTTGACCTATTTGATAAATACCTAGAAAATTGAGTTAGGTTTAGGTTTATTTACTCAACCACAGTATACAAATGTATGTGTAGATAATAAAGCAATGTAATACAAAAGGATTTGTATTACAAGTTAATTTATTGTAAAAGTTCAAGTTTAAAGATTTGCGTCAGTGTCAGACTGAGCAGAAAAACTTGGTTTGTTAGAGGATTAGGCTATCGTACATGGAAGTAGATGGCAAAGTCATAACATCAATACTGGGAAAACGTGTTCTATAGGATTCTCTATAGTCGAAACCAAGAACAATTCGGCCAGTTTTCTTTTTGGAGACTAAGCATTCTGACTGAAAATGTAATATGTTGCCCATAACTTGCGTAGTAAGAGATTGCTGAAGCTTTCCCAGCATAAACAGTGGCCGCGACAACGATTTACAGAAGACCAACAGACTAATTCGTCAATAGCGATAACGAGCAGAATATTAAGGACCTGATAATTTATGTCCGTTTTAGAAGTTTGTATTTTAAATAGTTCTAATTAAAGGTAACAGGGCCGTATTATCTGAAACCTAATTATGGATATTGACCATCGTTTTTTCAACAAGTGGACGGGGACTATTGACAAGTCCCCTGACGTTTCGCCAATCATCATATGAACGTTGTGATTTATTTAAGAATTTATTACTAGTGTTTCGAAAAAAATTGACCACGCCACTGGATTCTACGTATGAACTTTTAGGAGTTTCACGAAAATAGATAGGCTATGTGTATTTAACAGCAATTTCGGCCGTTTTAACATGTTAATTCCCATAAGAAAATGTATTGGAAATTGGTCTTTCGATCCACCAAACAACCTAGAAAAAAAAAGATGTCATCATTATCAATACCTAACACATAATTACCTATTGATTTTATTTTGCTGCGTGGCTCAGCGCTCAAGTCGGTGTACAACAACGGACCGTTCCCGGGTTCGATCCTCCGTAGACGCGTAAAAAAAAAAGATGAGTATGACGACTACATGTATTGAGTGGTTGCGGGCCGAGGGTTGGGGGGTGTGGTGAGGCTTGTTGGAGTGCGTGTGAGTTGGGGGGGGGGGGGGGTTGAGATCGGTGATCGAAAAATCGACCCCAGTTCGCGAAAAGCGAGACCAAAAACGGGACAGCCGGTACAGAGTTGTTTCGATGTTTGGTGTCGCCGATTATTACCATTATCGAGAGGTAAAATCTGCCCGTCATGCGGCGTCCCGAATTTTAAGTTCCGCGCGCCGAAAAAAAAAAAAATCGCTGGACGTCAAATCGGACGATCTGACGGGTCGATCGACGATAAACAAACGGGCCGGTGCGCGAGGAGTAGCGTACAAACGAGCGGCGCTCTTGAATAATGCATGGCGTTAAATGGGTCTTCGGTGCGATCCGTGGAAGTGAGGGGGAGCGGCGGAAGGGGGGTGGAGGCGGTCCCGATTTTCAATTTAACCAAACAGCCGTAGTGGAATCGGAACGCGTAGATAAAAAGATGCGGCTTAATTGAGGCGTCACGTTACAAATGGCCCCGCTTGATTGTTCGAACGGTTAACGGCAAATTGCGGCTTCGCGTCGTGCAGTTTGTCCCTTCCGCGACGGGACGAATGGGGTATTGGGCGTTGTCGCGTCCGTAAGAATTACAAAATAAGGATCGTCGTTTTATTATTTTTTATTTATTTTGTTTCGCCGTTTTAAACGGATTCGAAGAGGTAGCAGAGAAATAGGAAAAAGCAAATGTAAATAGACAAAAATAAAAAGAAATAGAAAGTAATGGTGAGAAATATAAAAATAGGGAGGAATAGATAAATATAGAGAATATTTGAGATAAATAAAAATGGAGAGATATATATAGAGAAATAGACCAGAAATTGACAAAAATAGAACGAAAAAACATACATAGGGAAAAACAAAATAGAAAAATAGACAGAAGCAAAAAAAATACAGAAAGAAAGAAACATAAATAAAGAGAAATATACAGAAATGAGAAATTTTTTGGCATTAAAGCGATAACACAAAAAAATCGTATTTATATTTTAAATGTACCTGCCAGCAACAAAATTCAAATAATACGAAACAGTGCATAAAGGAAACTATATTAGAATCATGTTTCTATGTTTGGTAGTTTCATTTATTTATTTATTATTTATTTACATTTAAATACTTTTAACAGATTAACCAAAAACTATGTATTGGCGGAAATTTTATTCTGATTTTTGTATAATTGTTTTGTTATATATTTCTTTTGTGTACTTTATACTTTTATTATGCTTGTGTTGTTTGA